AGAAGGGTAATAGGTCGGTAGTTAGCAGGATCCGAGCGCTTACCTCCTTTATATATTGGAGTGACAATTCCATTTTTCCACTCAGATGGGAGTGTATGGGAGTTAAGCAGACACTGGAAAAAGGTTGCAAGTGGTGTTGCTCGGGTGGGAGGAAGGGTTTTCAATACTTTTGGGCAGATCATGTCGATTCCAGGGGCACTGTATTCCCGGAGAGACTGTAGTTTGCTTGCAACAGCTGCTGGAGTAAAGGTGACGCTGGATAAGCCAACGACATTTGTTGGGAGTTGATAGGGCGAAGGTTCCATGACATTTGTAGCTACCGAGCCAAACTGCAAGAGTAGAGCATTCGCGGCATCCACAGCAGTAATTGTTAGACCACTGGCCGTCCTGAGTGGTGGTATTCCAGACTTAACCTTTTCTTTGCCATTCACAAATCTGTATAGTAGTTTGGTGTTACTCGTAAATTTCAGCACCATATGCTCCTGCCATTCGTACTTATCGATTCTAATGAGTAAGGTGCAGTAGTTTCTGATGACTTTGTAATCCTGCCATGTGATATCACATGGGCTTAGCAAATGTTGCCTCCTGATTGCATCTCTGCTATGGATCCATTTAGGTGTTCTGCTCCGGATCCACTTATTGGTCCGGCGCGATACTCGTAATGGTACAACCTTCGATGCTGATTGTATGACCCAGTTAATTTTGTCTTTCAATTCATTCCACGCGTCATTCGCTGAGCTGTGCGTCTATAGGTCCCAGTCAACGGTTGCTGCTAAGCTGCGCAGCTTATAATAGTCCGTAATAGTGTATTGAGTCTCTCTTTCTTTAGCAATAATACTGGCATAACATACATAACCAAATTTTAGGACTGAATGGTCTCTACGGCCCAGTGGAGGTTCGTATGCTACTGACTCAACCATCAACTCTTCATTAGTCAGGATTAAGTCCAGGAGTGATGGCTTGTTTGAACCGCAATATCAGGTTGGTCGATGCACATGGTTATACAAAACTGCCATATCCATGAATTCGAGGAGTTTCGATTTAAATGCTGGCCTATTAAGGGACATTGATGCTATTGAAGGGACATTAAATTCACCCATTATAAGATAGTGAGAGTACTTTTGTGAAACAGCATAGCGGAGGGCGTTTAACAGAATGTTATCGCTGTCTGCTGATGAGTTCGGAGGTCTATAAATAACTGCTAAGAGGCAAGCATCACTCTGCTTCTGTGAACCAACATCTCGACCTGCTAGGTGCAGTCGGCAAAATAGTGCGTCGGGAATAACAAGGGAATTTTCGGTAAGTGCCTCACATTTCAAATAATCTCGATAGTAGAGAGCAACACCGCCCCCGCGAGATGGACGATCATTTCGAATGACTGACATCTCACTGAGTTCAATCTCCGGATCAAGTATGTCGTTTGAGAGCCACGTTTCAGTGACTGCTATGAGGTCCCAAGTTGTTTCATGTCGGTGGCGCAGCTCCGAGAGCTTAGATTACAACCCCAGAGTGTTGGTGTAGCAGCATTGTATTTGTTGACGCATCCGGAGCTTGGTTCGCTGTGAGTGACCGGCACAAATAGTGCCGGTCTGCCGAAGTTTTTTGAAACGGTTGTTTGCACAGTTGGCTGGTTTGAGATAGGTACAGTTGAGGCTGGCTGGTCTGTATCAGATCTGTACTAATTGAAGGAATGGTCTTAACCGTACCTCTGCTGGCCCAAGTTTCCTGTTGTCATGCCATGCTTGGATTGACACTGATACCATTTCGGGCGCAGCCAAGGTAACTTTCAAAATTCGTGGCCCGCTACCTTGGTAGTTTGTGGACTCAATTAGACGGGTGACGTCAAAAGCCACGACATTCTTCATGTCGTGTAGTTCTGCGATGTACCGCCATTCTTCTATGTCGTGCTTCTGTCGTTTACTGCTATCGTCATGCTTCAATTCTGGCACACCATGAACCAGTACCACTTTCTTCATCTCATTTTGACGTGACGAACTAGGGTTGGATTTATGCTTCTGTCTTTCTGCCCATGGCCTGTCAGGAAAAATGCGGGCACTGACAGAAGAGTTCACTAGCATGTGGCTTGCTAAGAGAACATCTTCCAGGTCACGCGTGTTGCCAAACGTTACTCGCAGTAACCGAGGTTCCCCTAAGTGTGGAGATGATGGATTTCGTGAAAGGCGTGTAAGACTAGTTGGGAGAACTTTCAGTCCGAGTGCGCAGGTTATTTCAGCCCACCGGTTTTGCTCCTCGGCTTGTCTACCTTTTAGCGATTCGCTAGTGGGTTCTGGGACGTTTGAATATATTACTGTCATCGCCTTTTGGTTGCGTAGTAATTGTTTGTTCTGCAGTTCCTTGTGAGCGTAGGTTTGTCGAGTGGGGGTGTCTGGCTTGTCTTCGTGGACAATACGCCAAGGCTACAGCAAGCATTTTTACGTGCAACACCGTTAGTTGCGCTATCTGTAGGGGGTCAACTGTTGTTGACCAGCTACTGACGGAGGTGAGCATGCAATTTGTGCGTAACTCTGCATGCTTTGGCGCATTACGTGAGACTTGGGGTGCCGTTCAAGCGGCCTATTTTCACTGTTGTTTTTCACTAACGGTGTTTGCCTTTCACTGGACTGCGTAGCACTTTTGCTAGAGATCTTTTGCCTTTTAACTGGTCGAGGATCCGGGCTACGTAATGCACTAATCAGCAACTCGAGTTCTGAGATTTTCCCTCCCAATGCCGTGATCAGTTCCTTTTGGTCTGCAGACGTAACAGCCAATGCTTCACACCTTATCGTAAGTTTTTGAACAATCTTAATTATCGGACTATTTGAACATAGGTCACAAAACCACAAGCTATCTGTCGATAACCTGTTCGCTTCGTTAAGTGTAATGTTCACATTTTGTCGCGTCATATGAATTGGCACAGAAAGAAAACACATGATTTTCGAGCGGATTTCATTTCCCCGCTTGTCTGAGCTACGGTTGATCTTAGCTTTGTTGCTCACTGGATTCCCAGCTGACAAACTTCTCCGGCCCATGGATCAATGGTCGGTATGCACTTTTAGGTTGCGCTCGTCACGTCGTTCGGCTGCCTCAGTTGTCTGCCCCAGTCAGCGCGTTTGGGTGGTGCGTCACTAGGCGGACGGGTAGGCAAAATCACACATGCTTTGTGCAGTGAAATGCACGTAAAAATATGATGGTAAGGTGAAATGACAAAAATGCTTGTATCTATGGTATACCCTGGTGCACAGTACTAAGTTATATATTGTCTGACAGCCTTAAAGAAGATCTGTCGAATGGTATCCTGAAGGTACTGATGTAACTCAAATAAGCCAAGTTCCTAAAGTTGGCCTTAGTGAATAGACTTCCGAAGACTTAATTTGTGGTGTGGCAGCGTGTCGTTGGACTTACTTTAGAGATATAGACGCCGTTGGATAGAGCTCAATGACCTGAATCGATTGAGCGTACTTCCGAGGACGTGGCAAAGAATGTGAAGGGATACGTCCAATTAAACACGGAGCACATGATTGCACGATTAGCACGCACACGCTGACAAGGTCATGTGGCAAGGTTATGTGAGCCGTATGGATTCGACACGGATACCGAAACAACTCTTATATGGTCAGCTGAGCATTGGGAAGCGTCATGCGGGGAAACCAAAGTTACGTTACCGAGATATGATCGAAATGAGCCTCTTACTTTCTAATCTTGATTGCAGGTCACGCGAATCGAAAGCGCTTGATCGGCATGCATGGTGCGATCTGATCACGAAGGCAGTTGCTGAAGTGCAGGAGAAAAACCTCATGCATGCAGAGAAGAAGCGGCAAGCGCGGAAGCGGCAGGCGCCGATGGGCTGTGCTCCATCGACATCGAGCGCATGGTGCTGTAGCACATGCGGTCGCGAGTGCCTGAGTCAGGCCGGCCTAGTGAGCCATGAGCGAGGCCAACCCGGACCACTACCGAAGCGAGGACGGGTCTTGCAGAGAATGAATACAGAACCAGCGCAGCGTTTTTAGATACGCTATATTCGATTTACTAACCGCTTGCTTGCATCCTAGGTCTCTTTGTTTCAAGTGCTGTGTTTGCAATTTCGTCTTAACGCTTCCCTCTTTCATATTAATCTCTACCTGTATTATATTCTTTAAACATGCACACGTCGCTGAAGCTAATTGTAGTTACTTACAATGACATATTCACGTTTGTGGCATTTCCTTAAAATATATTTTCGGACGTCTTGAACTTATCGCGGATTAGTTCATAAGCAATTTATTTTATACGCTCAGTAAGTGAAGATTAATGCTGCCGTATCTCTATACATTACCTGATTTGTTTTATTTCATCTTGTCGTTTCAAGTGATTGACTGTTGCTTGATATCGTCGGTGTGGATGCGCTTGATGTGCATGTTGACAAGGTGCCTACCCGTCTAGTACCCACCACTTCGTCCATACTGGTTCTAGGAGATAGTTGGTCGTTGCTGGAGGGGACGGGATGCACGGTCCTTGTGGCCGTGTTAGGATCAAGGAGTGGTTCCATGCACTCAGTGTGGAGCGGACTACGGTCCAGCCACCGCCTTTTGTGCGTTTGGTTCCCCAAATACAGCGTGCTTGTGTTTGCCTGTAAAGGAGAGTGGATCGGCTCCGTTGATGCAACGTGGCTCCGATCCACCTGCTTCCCGGTTTTATTTCTTCGGGTTTACCCTGGATATGGGGTGTTTGGTTAGAACTGTGGGTGATGCAGCGCAAACCACCCATGGTCCCTCTGTAGGTGCAGGCGTCCTGTAGCTGTCCCCCGTGATAGGCAAATCCGAACCCGGATGACGCCAACTATATATGTAAATATATATGTATTCATAAATAGTAGCAATCGAAAAGACAGCAACTGAAATTATCGCTGACTGAGAAACAATGACCTGACAGTCTGTAATACTGGACTCACTGAAACTACGATACCAACTGCATTCTGAAATTATTCCGCATACAGACGTTTATTGCTTGCAAAGTAAATTTACCTGCTTTTACTCTGTGACCAACTGGAACATCCTTTAACAGGCCACCGGCTTCACGCATTCCAAAGTAGCGCCACACATCTTCTAATGCTGATCGAACAGTGGTGATCACAGCGTCTAACGTCTTCTGTCCAAAGCTACGCAACAGTTCATCGATAGCTGAATAAATTTTTGTGATCAATTTTTGCCGCCGAATCGCCTCGCTTGGGCCTTGTGAAGTTACAAACGGGATGCGAATATCCCGGCGGTCCTCCACCGAGCTTGCCAATCCTCGCGAACCAAACATGACAACTGAAAAGAAATGGGCGGGCGACAAGATGAGGTAGGGTGCCGTGTGATTCGAAATGGCCACTGGTTTTATGCTTATCTCTCACAATTTCCGTTTCGTTGCTTGGTGAACCAAGAAGTTGGGATCTAGTATCCTAGGTGTTCAGTAAGAATGCTTTCCTTCCAGTTCACATAAGCTGACGTAGTGGAACTTTGAGAACATCCATCAGCTGGGTGCATGGCATTGATAGGCTGCTCGTCGCTTACCTGCAAGTGACTTAATTTTGTTTGGGTGAAGTTAATCGGTGAACGCATAGTCCTGAAGTGCCTGTTGCTGTCAGAGCGAAGGGAAGCCAGATTTAAAACCGATCGAAGTGAGTGCATGCTTTAGGAGAAGCTAGACAGATAGTATTTCAAGCTCCCTCTTGCTGTAGTAAAAATGCCCGAGCCACAGGTATATGCAAATCAAAAAGGTGATGTGTCATTATCAGCGGGCAATCGTTCGCTGAGTCTGGTAGGGGAAAATGTAAATGCAGAATTAATTTGAACTGCCCACTTAGGTTAACACCACCATGTGCTCTGGCAAACTGTGCCAAAAGTTGGCTGCTTTGATGGAGCTTGAACTGTTCTCTGAGCTGGGCAAGTCTGTTGCAAATGTTTCATCACCAATCGAGGTGACGTCATCAGTGTGTAGTTGAGTGGCGCGCAGTAGCGCAAAGTAGCGTAGTGGAGCCTCGGTGAGAGTCCGCAGTGTTGTGCGTAAGTTTTTACAGCACTGTCCCTGGCTGTGGAGCCGAGAAATCCTATTGGACTCAAGGCTAGTCTGACAGATGATGCTTCGGTGACTAGTGATGTGATTTTCAACCATTTCTCCCAGGCTGTCTCTAGGGTGCACTCAGCCATGTATGTCCAACTGGCATTCTAAAACCACACAACGAAAGGCTACAGATTTGTAATGTTTGATTTCATTCGCTACGACGAATACACTGATGCAGAGCCCGAAAAAATGTAATGTATTTCTCATTATCCGGTTCTATCCGCATTCGGAGCGAAAATCTTCCACCATCATATGAAACAAACATTATTAATGAGAAGCCAAAGATGAAGAGTTATGGTCTTGGAGAAAAACATGGCGCCTTCAGATAAACAAGCCTGACGCAGAGAATGAGACAGCGTACGTAACTCTGAGCTATTAATATGTACAGTTGGTTCGTGAAAACAAGTTATCACACCGACTGGAGCTAGCGAAACAATTCCGTTCGAACCACAGCCTTATTTACAAACATCTGAATGCACTTCGAAAGTTGCAGTGTGGAATCGCATCACTAAGTACGATTGGTGGGTATACCCACAAAACAAAAAAGCGGACAACGCCTCATTGCCCAGTACTGGCCTACTTTCAAAAGCGTACTAGCTTCAAACCTCTTATATTTGATTTTGGCCCAACACCATCAGTGTTATCCAGCATAAAATTCATAGCAAAAGTGGTTATGAAAAAGGCACCATCCTTGGATAGACTTCACCCTAAAACGCTGCAGGCAGCAGCCACTCATCTAGCCAAGCCACTTGCCGGATTCTTTCAGATAAGTCCGTCTATTCCTACCAACTACCGTCCGGTAGCACTTCTCTCTGCGCCTTCCAAAGTCAGGGAAGCAATCATGGCTGACGTAATGATGGGCTACTTGGAAAACGTAGGCAATGCATTATTAGGATGGGTTGGTAATTTTCTCCGTGAATAGCTGTTCAGTGTTAGAGGCCGAACATCTCTGCCCGACTCTAATAAAGTGGAGTGCGACGATCTTGCGAGAGCAATCACCTCAGAAATTTTACTTTTCCGGAGGAGGTTAAAAGTTGACCGGGGATCAAGAGAACGGACGACCACAAGGTCCTCCATTTACGACCTAGATGGGACCTGGCATTGACCGGTGAGGAAATCACTGCCATTAAATGTGGTCAAGTGACACATTATCCACATCCGCCATAAACACGCCTATCTCTAGAATATTGGGACATATGACCTGCAGACAAGTCCTCAGGAAATTGACCTCGGTGTGCTGGTGCAGGACGACTTCGGTTATTCCAGAGAGTCGGAATCCGTTTCAAAAGTGGTAACCAGCACGTTGTTAGCTTGCGGATGGCATTCGAAATTTTGGATTCATTCATCTTCTCCATGATGCTCTATGCCTACGTGCGTTAACACGTCGAATACGTAATCCAGGCTTGGCACGCTTGGCTAAACCGTGACCTTGCAGCGTTGAAACTCACCATGGTCGAACAGCGACTAAATACACTCCGAGTGTTCAGTAGACACTATAGGTGGCTACGTGGAGACCTCATATTAGGCTACCAGATACGGAACGACCCCACGTACACATGTTGCCATCTACTGCAACTCATTCTGGACACCAACTTTATAGGCAATAGCCTGAAACTGAGTCAACAACACAGTCGGCTTTGCATTAAGGCTGGACGAACCTCAGCACATAGCGACTCAGTGATTTCGTCATAAGTAGCCATTGAACGTTTCGGTGCCTACGCTGTTTATGTGCTCAACGACAGCCTGGACGTTAAGAATTCTATCCGACCGGACGCATCATTAGCACCATTTGCCAGCGGACCAGTTTAGTCGTTAACATGTTTGTGAAAGAGGATAAGTATATTAACAGAAATGTATTGGAACGATCATCTATGCTAGTGAAGGATATGTTCAAAATGTCCGCCGGCATTCTGCTTGCAGTGCTGAAACCGCTTGATGCAATTGGCCAGCACTTTCTCCAATGTATCCCTCGTGATCGCGCGACGTTCGTTCACAATATTTTCTTTCAATTGATCCAATGTACGCGGCCTTGTTTCGTGCACCCGCCGCTTCATATAGCCCCAGAGAAAAAAGTCCATGGGGTTCAAATCCGGTGAGCGAGCAGGCCAATCCATTGGTCCACCGCGTCCGATCCAATGGTGGCCAAATTTGTCGATGAGGTAAGCACGCATCGTTTTAGCAGAATGTGCAGGTGCACCATGCTAATGTTACCAAATAGTACTGCATGCCCCTTCAGCCTCCAACTGAGGAAGCACGAATGTCTGCAGCATTTCCAAATACGACGATGCTAGGAAAAGATAAGGCTTTAGTACTTCAAAACAACAACCTACTGGTCACATTCCATGAAAAGAAATATGGGCCCAAGATTTTTTGGCTTGTTAATCCGGCTCCAACCATCAGTTTCACACTGTGGTGCATACGTGATGCGGTAAATTTTCGTGGGTTGCTGGTAGCCCAACGGTAATGTTTTATTGTTCCACGCAGATGAAACAATGCCTCATCTGTATAGATAACAGAACGAATATCCCCGTGATCCAGAAACCAGCGGCAACATGTATGCCGCTTCTCCGGATCGCATGGGTTCAAAACCTGCACTTGAGGTGTACGGAACCTCCGAAATTTTCGTTCCAGTAATATCCGGTGTATCGCATATCGGTTCGCGTCGCAGTGCTGTGCGATCCGACGAATGCTGAGATCGGGACTTTTGACACTTCACTGACTACAGCGCAAACTGAACAGTCGTCCGTGGTGATGCGAGGCGGTCCGGTTCTCTTCATGTCACACACACTCCCAGTTTGCTCGAACTTCTTCACTAGTTTAAGCACGTACCGGGTGGTGATGGGACGCATTCCTGCGTTCATTGCATTGTATTTTCTTGAAGCTGATGTGGCGTTTAAACCGCATTCACCGTATAGTCGAATAATCAGCGTGCGCTGGGTTGCAGAAACGTTACTTGATCCCGACTGCATTGTCCGCTCGTGCTCCATTACCTGTGCTTCAATAATATTGACAAGTGTTGCAATTCCTAACCTCGTCCACAGCTGAGCTACCATCACGTGCGCACATTCACGTTGGTTGCCTGGGCCGACTTCGCTGCGTATCCAGCGAGGCACACAAAGATAACGATCGGTCGCTCCAATGCCTACGGTTGGCCATGACCTTCAGCATTCAGCGCGAAGTTAACTGACAGCTAACGAGCGCCGGAACCACGTTGTGGCTGCCGGTACTCATCTCGTACATGATCAAAATAGCCTCATGTCGGTACGTCTTTAGAGGTTGGGCTTGTTCGCAGCTGAGCCCTGCACTAAATCACTCGTCTGCCGATAATCCTATACGTCCGCACCACTAAGGTGAGAGAAAAATTCATGTCCCTGCGCACGCAGTAGCATGTTGCGAATTTCGCTAAACATCGGATGGCTATTGGATGTTGGGGACAGCAAACGTAAATGACCGGCGTTCACCATAAGGGAGCCACGGTAGGTAAATGAACGTTAATCAGCCTTCTTCTGTCAGACTAGCCTTGAGTCCCCTCCAATAGGATTGCTCAGCTCCACTGCTAATCGCGGCGGTGTGTAAACGCACGCACACCACACTTAGCGCACTCTCACCGAGGCTCCTTTACGCTACTTTGCGCTACTGCGCGCCACTCAACTACACACTGAAGATGTCAACTCGATTGGTGACCAAACATTTGCAACAGAATTGCCAAGCTCAGCGAACATTTCAACCGTCATCTGAACAACCTCAGCTACCAGTCTTCACTTCTATAGCTAATTGGCTGCTCTGTCCGAAATCATTTCTTGTCCTATGGTTTGCACTGATGTCTGCATGTGCTGTGTAGTGCTCGAAGTGGAGCAGCAGTCTCTGCGTGGGATGGTCACCTAGCTGATGATATGACATCTGACCATATTGGTGAGTTGGCAGTACATCATAAGATATCGGTAAAACCTATAAAGGGGGTGAAGAAAAGATGGATGCAGATCTTGCAATGTGCCCGGGTGTGATCTCGGTCTTTTAGTACCTAACTTGGCGTTATGGCACGCCCTATCGAAACCAACATTAATACCTGCAACTAATAACCCTGAGCTCGAGCCTTGTATTGGCTATCTTATCCTCGTTATCAGAAAACACAGGAGCGCGCAAATGGAGCTTAGTGGAGTAGCCGCTGACCTGTCGTAGGAACAGGTGCCCAAGCACGGAAGCTTTAAAGAAAAAGTGTTGTTTCCGCGTCATCCGCAGTTTGAGTTTGGGCAAGTTCGACAGACCCAAGCCCCAAGTGTGCATAGTCACGGGTGTGCGTATATGGGCGACTTAATGTCTCCTGGTTTATCTTATTGTGCTTCGATCAGTGTTATTTGTGTGCCTGTAGATCTCGATGTTTCCCGCTACAACTGATAGGAAGGGTTATCGCTGTCCCGTAACTTGTTTTTGCCGACATGCCTTAATGATACCGGAGGCCGTAGAGTTGCAGCTGTCACTAACTACGGGTTACTTACTTGCTCTTACCACGTGTGTGAGAGCAATGACAGTGGAGGACTTGAAAATAGAGAATTATGGTGTCATTGAAATCAGTGCGACATAAAGTGTATTATCGTACCCCACGGATAAGCAATACAATTAGTCGGTCATATTAAAATGTGACATTTCAGTGTGTTGGCACAAAAGCACTGGTTGAACGATAATCATGATATATCAGGAAAGCCTCGATGCTATTTGTTACGATGTAGACTAAGCTTTCCGAAGACCATGGTCTAGCCTACACCGAGGCACTTACCGTCACCGTCGTCCTCGTTCTCACTTTCAAAGGCTGATTTCGCTGGGTTACCGAATCTTTGCAGATGTTCATAAAAATCACCGGCAATCATGCTTATGTATTGGTTAGCAGCTTCCTCCACCGACTTGGACATTGTTTGGATTTGTACCGCTCCAAAGAGCGTGCTTCGATGTATTGTACGCACTAGAGTGTAGACGTCCCAGGCAGAGCTTCGCCACGGACTTTTGTGGGGTTGATATAGTCTACTTGCTGACCCAGCTGTAAACGCTGTACTGTCCTGGTCGAAAATGACATCGTGCTCAGTGATAGGCCCGTTATTAGCTTCCATGGTGTCCGGGGGTTCGGGTAGCTCGATGAGAGTATAATTGGCAATCTTTTTGATCACTGCATCAATCTGGTTGTTAAACACGTCGGCAGCCCTATCAAGCAGAGCGTTCAGCTGATCGACTTCGGATTCCACTTCCTACTTGAGAGAATAAAGTGGAACGAAATGAGCCGACTGTCTAGTTATGTGCATAACAAACCAGCGTGTTCATGAAAAAGTATGAGTTACGGGCAAGGACAGTGGAAATCAGACTACCAAATACCGTTAGTATCTGAGTGCTCTGTTAGCGTGTTTAAGAAGGACTAAGTATTTAATCCAGATAGACCACCGAGCCATTGTGGAGCGAATGGGAAACTAAACATTTGCGGCTCTAACTGGCTCATTGTGGCTGAAGTGTAACTACAAAAGCAGTCTACTGAGTTGACTTCTTTATTACGCCAACTGAGCATGTGCACCTGCGGATCCTGGGACTAAGCCACAAATTCTCTTTGTTGGAGCGCAGAAGTGTTTTAGGCACAGAAGGGTTTTAGGCACCAGCTAGTAAGCCCAGAGTGAATGTGATACGTATTAAGTTGGCAATTTGAAGGATGTCGAGAAAACACCGCTGCGGACGATGGTGCAATATGGTTATCATAATAGATAAAGTGCATGTAATGTAGCGTTTTATCACAGCATTGATTCTTATCCGTGTAACACCATAATTCAACCACAAAGCAGAGAAGAAGCCAATTTGAAGCACTCTCTGAAAACATATATATATATATATATATATATATATATATATATGCATTAGTCTACGAATAGACATAAAGCCATCAGAAACCATGGGACTCAAAAGAATCTACAGACATAGTAAAAGAAAACACAATACAGCCAATGAATGGTGCTGTTTTCCGTGATTGATCATGTGAAATCAAGACTGATGGTGTTTAACATAATATCCTCTTTGAATCTTCTACACAACTCAATGGCTGGTTTGCCGAACAACATTCTCATGGTGTCAGCGTGATTCGAGTTTATCCCCTTCCGGCAAATAGTTGGGCGCCAGTGTTCCAAGAAGCGATGGATTTTTGCCCGGCAAGCTTTCTACCTATAAAACATCACATATGTCCGTTTAACAATACTGTGACATGGCGGATGTGACTCGTGACGAACTAAATTCATTGCCCCTTGCTTCACTCCGGTGGGGCATTGTATCCATCAACACAAAGCTCAAGTTGTGGGGAGGGTTGAGTCCCTGTTTGTCAGCCGAGCAAACGAAAGACGTATGAACGGAGCAACAAGTCACCGTTTCCCAATGGGCGCGATTCCCTGAATTCCTTGCGCTGCCCTACAGGTAGGCTATTTAGCCAAAGGCTCAGCATGGTGTCCCCGAAGTCAACAGCCTACTTCAGGTTGGGAAACCGGGTAATAGCTTGCCCTCTGATGAAACCGTGGAATTAGCCGGGTTATGTTTTTTATGACAGCTGTACCTTGCTTTGATTTGCATGGTTTTTGGTGGCTCTGTCTATTGGTAGACTGGTGCATATATATATATATATATATATATATATATATATATATACGTTTATATCACCTGAAGTTCAAGCACTGTTTTCATACCCTCCTCCGACGTTTGGCACTCAAGGCGAAAAACCTGAACCGCTACTTGTATGTGCTGAACACAATGAGGAACAGAGGTGATTAGGTGGACAGAAGCAACTTAATCATTTAACGATCATGTTTAACTTGGTTAAGTTGCAAGAGCATAGGTCTTAATTGCCTACAAGTCGGTCAACCACATTCATTCCCAACATCTTAGTGTAGCTAAGGAAAAGGTGGCACACATTGCATATTCACGAAGAAAAGTGCCTAAAGCCCTAGCAACCGGTGCAGTTACACAATGCTCAAATAGCCCAACAACGTAAAGGATGGGAAGCAAGGGGTTCATACCTGCATCCAATGCTCCGCCACCGAGCTGCACCAATCATGCTCGTAGAACCCACGGTAATATGTGCGGTAGAATGCGTACAAACGAACCGTTAATATTTTTTCCATTTCCGGGGTCATGCGCTTGAATAATGAGTTCACTCTGGTCAACATATCCTACGGGGTGAAAAGTACGAAAAGCCATTAAATGTGCTTGACCATAAGAACGATCACAGTATAGAGGATTAATTTCTTTCCACTACGAGATCTAATCCATCTAGCCATAGAGTCTTACACAGCCAAAGGACAAGCTATCAGGTTCTAGAGAATCCTCCTTAACCACTTACTTGACAGAAACACATTGTTGCCTATGCGCATAAACAGAATGGGCCACGTCCCATAGATATATTCTAGGTGAACAGCAATTGAGATTTAAGCTTATATTTCAACAGAATGCAGACAAATGAAATCAGAAGTGTGCATGCAACCCTTTGGTTTGTATGCCAGTCAATCGTTGCTGTTTCCCTTCAAACAATGCTTCAAGGAGCTGTGTTCATGCTCACTAGTGCCGTAACCCCTGAGGCTTAGAGACAGGTCGACATAACCAACACCAGGTAGCAGTTTAACGACGCAATTTGACGAATATCTACAGACGAGAGCAACTCGAACTCTACTTTCAACGGTACCAGATTAGACTGGAATTTCTGATTGCTCAAGTGAATGGGATGCCACAACTTCACAACAATCGGAGATAGGGAGATAAATGCTACCGAGGACGCGCTTGGGCCTATTGCAGCAACATTACAATGTAGCCATAACGGTGTTTTGTAGTGATGCGCTCTCACAGTCAATCACAAAACTCTGGGGTGCAATTGGTAAATTTAGTATCATTTATACATAGTTTATACAACGATCATTGTTCAAGTAAAGATAAGCAAAACCCCTACGAACGCAGTGGTCACCATAGTAGCCCAGTGATACGCGAGACCTAAAAAGTGCATTAAAACGGTAAAGCTAGGCTCTTTTTCGAAACCAACAAAGTTTCCATTATTCCGTTGTGAGGGATGAAACATGTAGGTTATCCGGTATCCAACGTTCTATGAAGGTGCGCAGGGAAGGAGAGTTGGCCTGTCGTAAATCAACTTTGACTCTCATTCGCATGCTTTCTGTCTTATTGGTTATGTTTTGCAACGAATAAAGTGGACTGGTTGGAGATAGCTAAAGTTCAGCGAAATGTAATTTACAGAGCGCAGCGTATGCCATTTGTAAACACTCTGGAGAGGAAGCTATTATGAGAATCGCAAATAAAGCTACAATAAGGGATTAAGAGATTGAGCGAAGTTCAAAATTGCTCCATCTCGCTTCTGCACAGTTCATAAGCAAGCTGCCAGAGGCATTAATCGGCATATACACTCCGGCTAAGTGCTATAGATTTCATCAAGTTATGCTTGCTCAGTTTACTCCCTTATTTCTGCACCCCTTTGAAGGCGGGATAAAAAGCTCGTTGACTCAAATTCTTAGGTTCAGAAGTGTACGTACAGTGATCGGTTCCTGGAACCTTAAACAACAGCAGCCGGAAATACGGAGAGTGAACGTTGTCGGTTACGGTCACACCCTCCGTCTCACTATCGGCATGTCTTGTCAGACCACATTTAGCTTCGTCGCTAACAGTGCTGAACATTGTCCCCAAACTTCAATTTTTGGACCAAAAGCTGAACCGAGTGAGTGTACCTCCAGGCAGAAACTTGTTGTGTCCACAGAATACGGCAAGACAAGCCAGCCTTTTGTTTGTTCCTATAGTTCGGTCGTTCGCTTTCAGTGACTAGAGGCTTCAATACTTTCACACCCTCTTTAGTATTGGATGTTATTGGGGCTTTGCGTTCAAACATATTTTACTAGCCATTGAAGTGTCATAATTCACTAGTGAGTACGTTAGTTCTATGAATTTCTGAGTATCCCGAGACTTCCTATCTCCAAACTCACCTGCAACTTATTTCTCCTTATTTTGATAAACTGGGAGCGCTGAAACACCTGTCGCGCCAAGTTCGGGATCGGACAGCCATACCGGTCCATGCACACGGCCTCGCGAAATAATGCCGTCAGGTTTGGGTCCAGATTGACAACTTCATCCCGCTTGTCATCTGTCTTCACAATAGCCAGCAACGGAGCGCCAAGACCCTGGATTTGGTGCTTTAGCTATAATGGGAACAATTAGCTAATGGGCACTGGGCGACTTCATAAATGCTGGGTAATTTTAACATTCTGCTGTTCGCAAATCCGTAGTTGGTACAATGAGGTACACGCTTGTTAGGTTGAAAACAAAAATGAAAATTCTTCGCCTACCGCATAACTGCATGAATTACTTTTAGACACCAGTCCCTAACATGAGTTGTGTGTTTAACCAGAGAACTCAGATACGAAATTAGTAGAAAATGACATACTGTTCATTAGAAAGTTATGTACTAGGATACTTCGGTAGCAGACGACCGTATAAATGCGAATGAATGAGGGTTTTAATATTTGCTCCAAAGTACCAGAATCTTCTAAAGGCAGATGACACAATGTGCGATGGAGCACACATGAGGAGGAGGTTGACATACTAAGCTAACATTTTGTCGCACAAACTGGGACAGTCAAACTATAGGGTCGGTCAGCTCTAGCTGTGAGAACAGGGGAAGCTCTATCAAGCACCGGCACCAGAGTTTGTAGGACATATGACAAGGTGCAACTAAAATAGTACTGAGCGTAACTTGGACATACCGATGATTGCGTGATAAACAGTTGAGCAAACATGGTGGCATAACTCTTCGCTAGATTAGCATATGAAGTAAGTTGGTTAACAACGAATCTACGATAAGTAAAAAATGTCCACAAGTTACTTAAAAATGCTACAAACGCAAGAAAGTTATGGAAGCTAAGCGCAATTAGCATAAGCAACTTGGCCAGTTAATAGAAGATTATTCAGGTAGGCAGAACAAACCAAATAAAGTGGAATGAAATTTAGCCAGCTTACAACACGACTGAAATACACAAGCCAAAAAAACGATTAATTTCCGGCCACCTAACGGCCGGCTTAAAAGCGAACACAATCTTGACATCCACCAATGAACTCCTAACCACAAAAGCCCTATGTTGCATGTACACAAACGCTCAAGGCCTTCGAAGCAAGTTGGCCGAACTTAGAGAACTCCATGCCTCAAAACCGCGGGACCTCGTCATGATTACAGAGACATGGTTAAACCCTGAGATAACCGACTGTGAGATCAAGTTACCCGGTGTGTCGCTGCTTCGGACCGATAGAACCAGAATGGGTGGCGGCGTGATTCTTTACTATAATACAAGCCTCCAATGTGAAGTTATCGATCACCCGGAAATCCGAGCTCCCAATTCGCTTTGGTGCCGCCTTTGGTTGCGAAACAAGGACACATGTCTACTAGCCGTGGTTTATCGCCCGCCAAACTCAACGTCGGAAATGGACTCCAAACTGTACCACGTTTTCCAGTTTGTTTGAACAAGGCCTACACCCACATTCTTATCGCGGGAGACTTTAACATGCACGACATAGAAACGCCGGCAACTGAAGGTACGCAGTTTAAAGCCTGCTTGCAAGAACTTATTGCTAGCCACCCTCTTTACAACCACCTAACCTCTCCCACCAGATTTCGAACTTCTAACAAGCCGTCGATACTGGATCTTGTGCTAACTAACGAAGAACTCATGGTTGACGGGATAGTTACAAGCACACCACTTGGTCGTAATGATCATGTTACTCTACTCTTTGACTAAATATGCTATGCGAAGTACCCTGAAAAGGAGGAGGATAAAGTGCACACTGTCACGCACTACAATGTGTTGTCCAAGCTTGGTAAGGATACATCTTGAACTTTCTTAATCGAATGCCCCCCAGATCTGGCCTGGGATATGTTTACAAGGACTTTGAGCACACTGGTAGCGCAAGCATCGGAACAGAAGTCCTTCCAACCCAAAAATCAGAGTAAGTCATTTCTGAGGAGCAGAACACGTAAATGTATGTCCCGGAGGGATTTGGTATGGCGAAATCACCAGGGTTGCCCGAATGCCGAAACCTGGACTGCATATGTGACACATCGTAACTTCTGTGTGAAACTGATCCGCGAAGACAAGGTCACGCATCAGCAGAAGTTAATGAAGCGATTCTGCACTAACCACAAACTCTAAAACCACAAACTTCGAAAGGTAAAGCGAGGGGTTCCGGCGCTAGTCACGGCTGATGGATACACGCGGTCAGCAATGGAAGCAGCTGACCTCCTACGGTTTCATTACTCCCAAATGTTCCAACCAGTGTCCAGCCCAAACATTCACCTCATTTCTAATACTCCACCATCTGGTTTAGAAAACATCACCTTCACTACAGGGGCTGTGTTGAAGAAGTTGTTATCCTTGCGTATCCACAGTTCTCCCGGAGCTGATAACATCCGACCAAAGGCTCTACAGGCTGTAGCTAGTGATCTAGCAGAACCACTGGCTGTTTTCTATCAGCGATGTCTAGAGGAAAACCTTATTCCACCAGTATGGAAGCCAGTGGTCATCACTCCTATCCATAAAGGAGGTAGCCGCACTGCTCCTGCAAACTACCGTCCAATAACACTACTTCCCGTACTATCCAAAGTGATGGAATCAATCATCGCAGACGCGCTGATGCAATATTTGGAAAGCCACAATTTAATAGTCCCAGAGCAACATGGCTTTCGTCAAAAGCATTCGTGTAATACTAACCTATTAATTGCACGTAATAGCTGGACTGAAGCTGTTGATGATGGAGTTGGAGTCGATGTCATCTACCTTGACTTTTCAAAAGCGTTTGATCGTTTAGACCATCGAGTTCTCCTTCAGAAGCTTCGGAACTACGGCATTGGTGATCCAATCCTGAGTTGGATTAGCAATTTTCTACAAGAACGACGCCTAGTGGTGAGAGTCCGAGAATTATTTTCTCATGCAATCGACGTGACGTGCGGAGTACCACAAGGCTCGGTTCTTGGACCTCGTCTATTCTTGGTGTTCATTAACGATTTGGCGAGATCAATTACTTCCGATTTCTTATTTTTCGCTGATGATATCAAGATATGGCGAAGGATCAGAGGACCGGATGACCATGAACGGCTCCAGCACGATCTTAACACAGTGTCGAACTGGTCAGTTCAAAACGCTCTACCGTTCAATGTAGACAAAGGTCGCGTAGTACAATTACGTCATAGAGAAAACTACACCTACATACTTGGGACAAACGAATTGCAGAATAGCTCCCAGGAACGTGATCTTGGTGTGATCGTACAGAGCGACCTCAACTGTTCAAAACAGGCTGAGGTAGCTGCGAAAAGAGGCAACCAGCACGTCGGCATGCTGCGATACGCATTCGGGAGATTCGACCCGTCAATCTTCCCAATGATGCTCAATTCCTACGTGCGCCCGCATGTTGAATACGCAATCCAAGCTTGACAACCTTGGTTGAAACGCGACCTAGAAGCGATAGAGGCACCACAACGGAGAGCAACAAAGAACGTGAAGGGCCTGCGGTATCACTCTTACCACCGGAGGATGAAGTTGCTGGGAATTTTCAGCGGACGTTATCGAAGGCTGCGCGGCGATCTCATATTAGCGTATCAAACATTGAGTGACCACAACCACGTTTGCCGCCATTTGCTGAAACTTAGCCACAACACGCAGCTCAGGGGTAACTGCTTAAATTTGAAAGAACAATACAGGCGTCTAGAGTGTCGACGGAATTACTTTTCCCTTCGGGTTTGCCAACCCTGGAACGCACTCCCAGACTCAGTGGTATCCTCTCCTACCTTGGATGTTTTCAAAAAACGATTAGATGTTGCTCTTAGCTCCCAACATTTTGTTACCTAAGCTCCTCTATTGTGGATTACGCCAAGCATGCTTTTCAACAGGACTTATGTATCAAATGGACCTAAGTGAGCGACCATGTTTTACTTTTCTCACTCCGTACATAAACGATCACTGCACCCCAATGTCTTTCTGAACGTTTACGCTTGATAATATTTTTCATTTTACACTGGTGTTAATTATCAACGTATTCATCTCGGCAGACGTTCGATAGATGACCCAGACATATTTTAATTGCATCATATTCACCGCTACCATCCTACGGGACGTGTCAAGCACTTGCTTTTATCCCGTGATAAATCATTGTTCATTGTTCATTGTCCATTGTTTAAGTGTAAGTTGGTTTAGCCCAACTGCGGTGAAGAAGCATCAAGAATACAACATCAGCCTCAGCATGGGGCAAAGTCCGGATACCTACGAAGTAGACTAACCACCAAGTATATAAAGAGGCCAGTAGGTCTAGGGACTTGGAGGTGAAATCGATGATTCTCATCAACTGCTCGTGGATACACAAGTTTATAAATCCGACAATACGACACTTAGTGAAATTGGATCTCCCGACGATAGTTCTGATCTGTCAGCAGAGCGTTGTTCACCGGCACCTCTTCGTCTTTCCATCGACATGAAAGATCCATTAGTTCAACTGTTTCTTACCCACTAACCCATTTGCCATCCCGGGTCCAGGTACCAAGTGATCTTTGAGCTGACCCATATCCCAACATCCACACCACACTACTCAATTTAAGTCGAGAGCGCGTCTCATGCACCTGGGAACGATAGCCATTTGGCAGTAACTCACGGACCTTCCGTAGCAATACTAAAGAAAAGTAACGGCAAAATAATTTTGATTAGATAAGTAGGTTAGAGGGAATAAAAAGAGATAATATCGCTGATTGGATGTTACACACTTATTTGGTGACAAATTATGATCCAACTGGAATGCGATAGACACTGAATGAATGACAAACCGCAGACGCATCTTTCCATGTGTGGGGATTAATATCTTGTGTTGGCCGAATACGAGGTTTCATGTACCGCCTCTCCATAGGCCGCTCATTTTTGCCCTCTTCGTTTCTCAGCTTTAACCCGCCGAACTTTGTTACACACTAATGAATCTACACCCATTCGTCAGGACTTGCCGAGTACGCCCCATGCAACCATTCGTTCGGAAATGCAGCCTACACTTATCCGGAACTGGAAGTACCTGGCAGGGTTTCACAGATACCCACGCGCACAAGGTTGCTTTATTAAACCATCAAACAAACCTTTTGGTCGCTCTTGACTGAGCAGTACGACGGCGTTTGTACAAC